GGCGCATACGGATAAAGTAAGTGACTGCTAGTTTCGGGTGTTTTCACTGCTGACTGCACGGAGTCTTTCTGAAGAAGGAATTTGGGTGATATGAAACACACGGATGCTGTCCCAGGCTCTGGAGTGCAGGGAATGAGTTACACACAGCCCGAGATGTGAAGACACTACATATGGAATTCGACGTTTTAAACAGGTGTGTTTAAAATGTGCTCTCAGGAGCAACCTCAGTAATGTAAGAAGTTCACTAAACATAGCAAACTGCAACTTAAATGTTTTTAATCCGATAAATACATATTTATCTTTAAAGAAGTACAAATGAGGCAAATTTCAATGCTCTGATCCAATCTCCCACAATATAATTTTTTGGGTTTTGTTTTGTTTTTTGAAATTAAGCACTCCCAAATAAATCTTTATTGTCCAGCTTTTGAATTATCCTGTCAGAAATACGTAACACATTCATCTGCCCACGTAGGAGATTATTCTTATAACCAAGCAAAGTGTCCTACAGGACTAAAAAGTTAAGGATGGCGAATTTAAAAGTGGAGTGTCACTAAATGTGTGAAAGACAACCCCCTTTCCTAACCTGCAGGAGTTCCCAGCCACCCTTACACACAGGAAAACATAACCACGAGAAACCTTCAGGGTTAGAAATACTTTTATCTCTCTTAATAGGTAAAAATACATTTCAAGTCACAAGGCTGCAACTCCCCCCACCACGGCATTGTTCACCTGCAGTCAGTGACTCCTGCCCTCGCTCAGCCCCAGGGAACTGGATCCCATGGACTGCAAAAAAGGCTTCCAAGGTTGTGGGGAGAATCACAGCAAAACCCAAAGAGAAAGAAACCCCAGTATATCTAAAGCTCCATATCCATTTCTGCATTTAATACTGACATGGATTCCAAAGATACCATAAAGAAAATACATCACACACTGGGGGGAAAAAAAAAAAATCAACAAACATAGCATTGAAAAGACATTCTCCAGCATGTAAGTATATAGATATATATCCCACATCACGTTTAAACACTTAGTCACGTGTTCTTGTGGTCTGTTGCATAATACTATGTGCTGTTAGGATGCTTTAATTATTCCAAGCCAGCAACAGTCACATTTCAGAAGGAACTGAAATTTCAGCTGCTGTGCAATCACTACTGCAAGGCTCAGTGTTGTCTGTAATGGAACGTTTGTGGAGGTTTTTGTAGAAAGTTACGTGGAGGCAGGGAATTCCAAAGCAAGTCACAGTAAAAATTCAGGTTTACGTTCCCTTTTTCTAGAGAACTGTGAACACCTGGGCATGTGTAAAATTTGCAGTCGAGACAGAAAGCATCTGCAGCCAGATCACAAAACTGAACATAACTGAAGCAAATACACATGGAATTCAAAGGCCTGAGGAGCATTTTGGCACATGTCAAATAGCCAACACATTTGCTCTTGTACAGAAAGGCATTTACTCCTCTATCATGTGAATGATTATTAATTATTCAAAAATGTTCCAAAAGACTTTTCCACTCTTCTTTGCACAGCAGCTTAAACAAGGACAGAGACTTTTTTCTACATTGTAATTTGTAAAATACTTTAAACTTTCATTTTCTTTTGTAAGGAAGCAGTACTGCAATGCCAGTATTTTCAGATGTTCATGGAGAAATCTGATATTTGTTATTAATATATTTCCTTTGTTAAATACTTACTTCAAAATACCCTTTATATCAGGCACAAACCCAAGAGTGTGAATTTCTCTTCACAGCCTTAGAAAATGAAAACTTTTTACTAGGACCTAGAAGAACTAGCTGAGCAGAATACTGTTATTCTGCTTTTCTGACACATTACTCCTTTGTAACAAAATATGTTTTACTTAAGATTTATTACTTTAATAATAAAGTATTTTCTTCTGCTCTCATCTTGAATGCAATACAGCAAGTTCAGCATAAGCTGTGAGCTCATGTGAATTAGAAGGTGAATTCCTATTTTGAGAGAGAACTTTTAAGCCTTCAGTCACTTTGCCTGAGCTGTCACCAGCAGCCACTGAGCCTTTCCTGTCCTGTGAGGGCCCTGCACTGCAGCCCAGAACATTCCCTCTATACTCCAGGAAAGGCAAGAATGACTTCATTTAAATAAGAAAGGGTAAAAGCTAAGGAAAACCAAAACCTTTGTGCTGCTTTCTGAGAGCTGGGTGTCTTTACTGAGGGATTTCCCAGAGGAACTCTGCCTGGAGCACCTGTGTGTCAGTGAACAACTGCACAATTTCCAGAGCAAAAGCCTGGAATGGGAGAAATGCCTGTGGTACTTCTGCTGGGGGCTGGAAGAATGGGCACAGCTCTGTCCTTGGCTGCTGCTGGTTGGTGGAATCCCCAGGTACTGAGAAACTGTCATTTCTAAGAAAGGATGAAGCTGTTTCAAGACAGAAATCAATGTCTGGCCTCATCAGAGAATTGATGGAAGTAAATGTCTGGCTGAGAGGGTGACTCTCAGCACACAGGTACATGAAGAAACAGAAACAGAGCTTTGCTTTCGCATGTGCTGCCCATGGCAGCAGTGCTGGCAGTGTCGAGGCCCATTCACAGCCCAAGGAAACAAGAAAACACACTGGTCTTGAGAGAGTTTTTGAACCAACAATAAGGTATTTCTTCTGTTACAAAGGCCTCAGAACATAATTTAGAAGCTGGCAACCCCAAATCAGCTCTAGGAAAGGAGAGAAGATTAGAGTTCCACAGTGCCAAAAGATCCAAAAACAGGCATCCCTTTGCCACTTCACACTCAGAAAGAAGCAAGTAACATTCTTACACTTGAATTTGAATGATCTTGTACTATTATCAGTCGCAAGTAAGAATTGGCTCCTTGTTTTCAGAAGTGTTTCAGAAGATCTGAGTGACAGGCAGGAGTTCACTGCACTGAATTAGATGCTCCCAGGTCCTCAGGTTTATTGACACCAGGTGTTCCCAACCTGAGCTTTCCAAAGGAACTGGTGTTTGCCCAACTGCCCAACAGAGTCTTGCAAAAAACTGTTACAACATGGCTTGCATCAGCTTCCACCAAATGAACAGATAAATGTAGGTGGGACACTGCCTTCTGAATCCTGAGAACGGGAGGTGTCAGCAGGAGCAGAGAGGTCCCTCCTGGATGCAGAGAGGGCAGTGCTGATGGCACAAGCCTGCACTGCCTTGAGCACTCACTGCCCTGAAGGGAAGTGCTCTGCACAGACCCTCACACCCCTCACAAAACCTGCACAGTGCGCTGGCACTAAGGAACACGTCACCAGTGGTGCCACAGCCGTGTCTACACAGTCTGAGTTACTCAGCTCTGAGTCAGCTGAAGGACTAATATGGTATTTGATGGTGTTGATCTGAAGTCACTTAGGCACTTATTCACACGGAATGTCTATTGAACAACAAAGTCACACGCTGCAAGGAGTGCAAGATGGTGAACATCAAGACTCACTGATAATTTTCCATTTAGAAGAGCCAATTCTGCTTTGTCCATCTCTCTAACAGATTCCGGCTTCTTGCTGTGAATCCTGTCCAGTTCCATCCATCCTGATACTGGTAAGACAAGCAGCATCTGTTCCCTTACACATCTCAGCAACCTCTGAGTTTCTGCAGAAATCTTGCTTGGAGCTGCCCAAGTGAGATGGTCCAACGTGAGGCCCCGCTCCATCCAGCACAGGGCTGCAGGCACGGTACTGGGACACAGCCACCAGCACCCTTCCAGTTTGGTTCTTTGAGCATGGCAGGAAAAAAAAGTCTGCAAGTTCTCTGTAGAATTGTTCTCCATATTATCCAGGGAAAAAGGCAAAGCTGCAGAGCAGAGCTCCGAGTATCCTTCTGGCCTGCGGGTTGAAGAGGACCACGGCTCAGTTAACACTGACATTCGAGGCTCAGCTCCTCGCAGATGTCACGTGTGTCCCTGTGGTTCCAGCCTGTCTGTGGCATTCCTGCTGCTGGGAGCTCCCAACACAGCACAGTCTGTCTCGGCAGCACTAAGGTAGATGCTCTTCAGGATCACCCCTGCAGTGCTTTACTCTGAGCACTGCTGTCACTTCACATCCAAGAACGAGGGCCTGACACTCCCTGACAGACCAGGTACAAAAAACCTGTTGATGCTGACTCTCTTACTACATTTTCAGGCACTTAAGTTATTTAAATCCATTATCTAACAGGCAACTCATTTCTTTACATATAAGAGCTATGGCCAGGATGCACTTCCAGGTACCAGGAAGAACTGAAAGACAGCTGATTCTGCCCTATTCCTCCCTCAGTAAATTCAGCAACTTTCTTAACACAAGGCCCAGCTCCAAAAGGCATTAACTAATACAAATACAAAACACCAGTCCTGATTCAAGTCACCTCCAGAATGTCTGTGGACAAACAACTAAAAAAAAAATCTGTCATGTACAACGCTGCTTAATATCACATAAGTCTGAGACTTCACCCTTATTCAGGAGTTTTGCAGTCTCTATAATTCAATTTATTCCTATCCCTGCAGGACCAGTGCTCTAAGAGCCCACGGTCTGGGAGCTTGGTGCCCAGGCCCCCTGGGGCACACGAGGCTCAGGCATTTTCCTGCTCACTTCAAGAGCCAGAACTAACCAGTCCAACTGATGCACTTCAAAGTCAAGGTCACCAAACCTAATCAGTCCATTTATGAGGAGACAGGGAGAACACCCGAGTTAACTCCAAGATCACTGCTTTAGTTTCAATGCAACAGGAAAACCCCACCTGGAGCCTGATCCCTGCTCCCAGGGGGGATCACCTGCACTCACTGCACAGCTCTCACACGACCTGTTCCAGGAGAAGGGATGTGCCTGTCAATGAGCATCAAGAGTGACAACAGCTCTGGCTCTTCCCCCAAAGTTTTAGATCTGCTCTGTATGATCCTAAAATGTAATTCAACTACTACTTATAGAAAAATCCTCAGAGTCCCACTATTTTATATTCTATCCTAAGTGTAAAACCTCTTTTTTTAAACCAGCTACATTCTTCTAAAACAGTAAGCGCACAGTGACAGGCAATTTAAACAAGTACTTCTTATTTATTCACAATTTAGATAAAGTTTAAGGAAAGACAAAAGAAATACAAAGGACAACATTAAAATGAAAAGGAATTTTAGTGACTGAAGTGAGTTTCTACAGCCAGTGCTCTCCATACAATTCCAAGTATTATCCAAACACTGCAGATGCAGATTTCAAATAAAATCCCATACCAAACCGCTATGACTACTCCCTTTGAAAATCAGACTGGGAATGGAAGTTGGCCACCTTTAGCTAGGAGTACACAAACCAGAAATTCTTTCAGTTTTGCCTTAAAGCCACATTTATCTTTTACAAGATGGAATCTGCAATACGATTTCAAGCAGCATTTTTCGTTTTGTCTGAGTTCTGCTAGAAAAAAAAGTCAGTGTCAACCTTCTGTGTAACAAACCAGCTTTTGATCTTGCTCGTGGGATATCTCAGAGCAGACTCACACTTGCAGCTTGGAGGTATCCTTGGAGATACTGCAACGCTTCTGCGTTCAGGCTGGTGCTCAGCATGGACAGAACCTTAAAGCACAGGGCAGAGCAGAGGTGTCAGTGATACTCAGCCCACTGCCACACCCTGTCAAGGATGTGTTAACACGTGATGCAAGGTGAGACACTGAGAGCAGCACTTATCCATGGGGAAAGTCGCTCATCTCTCAGGCCATCTTTACTTACTAGAATCTTGAACAAAACAAAGATACTACGGGGTAAGGGAGTTAACTGCACACTCAATTTTTCTAATTTAATATGAGCTGCCTGAATTTCCTAAGTACGTGCAATTGAACTGGAGATAAGGGTTAGTTATAGGCCATCAAGTGGGTAAATTTTCATTTTAGAAATGGCATAGTTAAGCTTATTGCTTAAGTAAGTGCTGTGAAAATATGGCCTTTCTAAGGTTACTGAGAAAAAAACCTCACAAAAGCTATGTTCCAGTAAAGAGTAAGACACAGCAAGATCATGCATTCTGCTTATGACCCACTTCATTTTGCTGATTATCAAACATTCTCTCAGAGGCTGAATGCAGCATTAGGATGCAAGTGCACGAGTCACCTACCCTGCCTGGGCACGCTGTGGACAGTTTGTGAAGAGACTGTGCCAGATGGATTCTAGGATTGTTCACCATTTGACCTACAGGATCGTGCTCTTTTTTCCCAGCAAAGGCTAGCTGGGAGAAGGCAGTCTGATAGCCTGGAGTATCCTCGATGTCAATGAAGTGCTCCTCGTCAGGGATGGTGTCATCCTCCGGCAGCTCGAAGAGGCCAATGAGGGCCTGCAGCAAAGGAATCCTGGGTGTAGAGAGGGGAGGGGAACACTGGAGCACTTAAAAATATGTTAGGACAGGCTGTATTTTACAAGAATGCTCAAATTACCTGGAACCCTTCACAATTTAGCCTTTGCAGGTACTTGCTTAGCTACTGGAAGTATAAATGTCCAAGGTAAGCTGGACTAGAACTGCAGATCTGTGTACTTTACAGGCACAACGGAGGTGTTTATATTATTAGCATGAGCAATATATTTATTTATCAGGTCAAGTTGTCATGAAACATACCTAAGCAAAGCAGTTCTTTTCCAGATTACAGCTTTCCACTAAGTACATTAAAAAAAAAAGTTTTACTCCAGGGATCTGGGCCTGGATCCAGTTATTGTCATTACATTCAAACTTGGATCCAGTATTATTATCGTTGTATTCAGACTTCCTGATACCCTGGACTGCTGGCCTGGCCTACAATCTTCCCAGATAGCTTTCCCCAAAATTGCACTCTCAAGCTAAGATATTACAATCTCTCTGTCAGGTTGTGAGTATTCTCAGGTCTCCTGACTAGAACAGTTACAAGTCAAAAGTGGGCCTAGCTTTTCAGAAAGAACACAAGAACTCCAAGAGCCTCACTAGCAGAACCTAAAGAAGTGTGGTACCTACCACAGCTTGGTGTACTCCGTGTCCATCATGGGAGGACATTCTGTTAATATTTTTGTAATGCCAACAGCACAGATTTTCTTTTCAACTTGCCCAGACACTTTCTGGATTTCAGGAATTATAATTTTCTCCAAAACCATTCCAAACATCCTATTATGAAATTGAGAAAAAAAGTGTTAGAAAGCTTAATCAGCCTCATGGTGACAGAAGAAAAACAGGAACAATATGAATCACTAGGAAAGACAGAATACAAGATAATTTGTTAAGATGCTGCCCTGTTGCAGTAGACACTTGCATATACAAACTTTTTGCACAGGATAAAGACTTTTTATGACCCTTTTAGGAGATCAGTAACTTGAACTATCAACGAGGAACTGGGGGCAGAAAATAAGAAAAACTGCTAGACAAATAAATGAAAGGAGAAACACCTGGCCAGTCAAATCAGTGACAAACACAGTTTGCCAGTTTTGCTGAAGAGACAACTCTTTCCTACTCCAAAGATAAAAATTACACAGCAGTCTTAAATACAACCCAAACGAACAAAACATACTAACTTTGGCTGTATGCTGTCAAATATCTCCTGCAGAGCTAATGCCCCATATCTTATGCAATACAAGTTAATGAAGACGAGAAAGCCTGTAACAAGAAAAAGCTCAAATTAAAACTCAACATGAAAGCAAAAGAACAGCTTCAGAGTCAGCAGCAAAATACATTCTAACAAGTTTTTCAAGGGGATAGAACCTGCAGTCTTTATAAATGTTCACTTCTAGTGAAGGACATTAACTTGCTGCCTTGAAGTTGGCCTAAAAACTGCTCATCTTCTCATGTATCACAACACTTAAAAACGTTAAAACACTGAAAGCATCGCTTTGATTTTTGTTTGTGGAACACCATTATAGCAACCTTGTAATTCTTGCTCCTATCAGGGGCATTAATCAGATTTTATAGGATTAAGTAACAGACATTGTGTAATTTGTGTAGAGATAATATCATTAAAATGTTTTCATCAGTATGACAATCTTGTCTATGTATTTCAGTAATTTGTCACAGCTTTGTCAGTTTAACATAAAACCTTTATAAATAACTTTAGTCATATTAAGGCAAAAAATGACACAAAAGCATGGAATATTTCCCAGTACTAACAGAAACTCCATACAACAGTGATCAGTATTGCTGTGCTGTGTGAGAGGGAAAGTTTGCTGCTATTAGTGGAGATTAAATGGGAGACACTTTCAAATAAGTAATGACATCACACACAGTAGCAAAGGTAGAGGACTACACAAGTCTTGTCCCTTATTTTAATTCCATTCCCTCAGTTTTCATGCAATAAGTGTCACCTGCTGTGGCAACTGCCCCTTATGCCCCCCTTGATAATAGAAATAATTTGGAGCGAGTCCCTGGAGTCACGAGAACCCCTCCATCCATGTACCCACAGGACACTTGATCCACGCAGCTGCACACTCTGAACTGCTGCTGTCACACTGGAGCTTCTCAGAGCCAGGAACTTACTTTTGATAAACTTTGTTGTTTTGGAATTTTGAAGTCTTTGGAATAGCAAAATGAAGATCTGTTTCCTGTACTGGTCAACTGATTCACTGGAAATTTAAAAGAACAGGTATTCAATTCACACTAGGATTTTACTGATGTCACTTCACAAGAAAACACGTATAAAATTGTTCAAATCTATTTGACTGATAAATGCAACATTTTTGGTTGTGAAGATTAACATTTGCCATGATTGTACACTTCATAATTAAAGTCTACAGAACTTAGTTTTGCACGTAATCTGAACTCATACTCACGGAGGCATATGCTCGATGATGCTGTTTAGAAGGTAGAAGCCTTGATGATCATTAGCTTTAGAGGCAATCAGCTTCTGGAACACGCCTAACAACCCAGGCTGCAAGAAGAGCAAATAGAAGACTCCACACAACTGTTCTTCATATGTGAGCTATCAGAACGTTAGCCCTTACTATCTAAGACATACACCAAGGCAAAACTGTTCATAACCTAAACCAGGATTCTGTTTCTGCAGCTGAGGACAAGTAAGACACATTTTGGCTCCTTCTCACTCACTCAAGACTTCTGAACAGATCCCCTGAGAGTTCTCCTGGTCCACATGTTCAACATGAAGCACAGACAAGAAAACTGTCCAAACTTATCTGCTTGCAAAAACTAAGTGCAGGAATTTTCCATCTCAGCTGACAAAAGCAGGGCAGCCCTAGGATTCATCTTACCCACGGAACGTGACAGCACCCAAAAGGCTGCACTCAGAGTGTTTGTCTTTCTGTGCAAACACTACTAACGTAAAGTACAGGCCCAAATTCTGCCCGAGCCCAGCTGCTGACTAAAGCTCAGCTCCTCCCAGCTGCCACCCTCCCTGCCCGTGTGGAGCGCAGAGCTCACGATTTTGTCGGCGGCGGCGCTGGCGATGGTGCTGGCCCCCCGCTCCAGGTACGCCTGCAGCAGCCGCACCAGCGGAGGGATGTTCCCCGTCCTTTCCCAGAGCACTGGCTGCAGCAGGTGAGGAAACAGCGCCATGTAGGATGATGGGATCTCGTTTTTATGCATTTCTAGGAGTAAGGACATCACTTGGAACACGTATGGAATGAACTCTGGAAGAGAAATGATGGCATTTACCACGTCAGCCAACACGGTCACTGTCAGTTCCCAGGAACCACACAGCTACTGACTGAACCCACAATAACATGATATTAACACAAGGATTCCAACAAATAAAACACTGGAGAGATGTATCACTTCCCAAATTTAATTATTCACAAAACTGGCAAGCATTGCATATATTCGCTTTTTATTTCCTCTCCCTGATTATTGCTCCAAAACACAGAATACAAACTACTAGAAACAAGGCAATACAATTAAGTAGAATAATAGGAGGGTTTGGAGTAGTGGTTGCTAGATATTTTAAAAATAGAATGTGATTCAAAAATAAGTGAATGCTGTTGATGTACCCTATGGAACAACCCAAACACTTCTGCACTGTGAAAGTGCTGTGTCCTCCCCTGGACTTCCTGTGCTACAAAAAAACCTGCCACAAGGTAAAATCCCAGCAAGGAAGTGCAGGAAGAGAGCCCAGGAACTCCCTGCTGTCCTTACCTTGCACATCATTCTGCAGGATCTCGGTGAACACCAGGAACAAGGCCTCCTCAAAGCTCCCCACGGCCTCCGGGTTCGCCTTGCACGTTATCCTGATCGACAGGCAGATGGACTCAAACATGTAATGGTTGAAGTGGGGCTTGCTGGGGTTCTGAAAACAAGTCATAAACACACAAATCAAACCTAACTTCCAACTGAAGTCACTTATTTGGCTAAATGCGTTTTTTAATTCAGCTGTAGTCTAAAGTAGCATTTGGAAATAAAGTACTTATAACTTCTTTATTAGTATGCTCGTGGAGTTAATTCCAGAGATAAAAGCACACGTAAAAACCTTCAAAGCATAAAGGAGAGCTTTTTTAATCGACATTTTAAAAACGTGTTTTTCAGAAGCTCTCTATAAACTAGCAAACACTTAAAATATCACAAAACAAAAACTGGAAAAAAATTATTTTTCATCCCTCTAAGTGTCCAGTCAATTCTGTATTGAACACTTCTTATGTGCTGCAGTTGAGTTCAAACTACACAGAGAAGTCATTTTTTGGACAGTTGATGAAGGTACTCTAAGGCATTCCCTAATGTTAATGGTTAAGAATTAGCCCAGCCTGAACAAAAAATTAAGAGATTTTTACCCACTGAAAGCAGGAGGGTAATTTATTTAATTTAATCCCACATTTCAATGCCAATACTTAATATTAGCTTCAGAAGTTTCATGGGAAAATATTCGAATAAAGAACTTGTGAGAAAAACAGATTATTGCAATGGTGGCCTGTGCACAAGCAAACATTTATACTGCCACAAACCAGCATTACAGGAAGAGTTCATGTTCTGCTTCCAAATTTCACACGAGAGCAGGGGAGAATGATTTGAAAGTATGTCCTCAAAGCAAGGCAGTACTTCACTGGAGGGCTGTTCCAACTAAGTTTAGTCAGAAAATACTGAACTCTGCAGTATTCTAACAGAACACCACCACCACCAAGGTATACATAAGTCTTCAGCAAGACTGCTTTTTGTTCTGTTTCTTTACCTTGCTGACAGCCAGCAGTTTCTGTGTGAGCTGAGTGATGACAGAAGGGATGTATGGAATTATGGACTCCTGTAGCAGAGAAAAACTCCTCATGATGGCTGCAAATAAATGGAAAGTATTATCTTCTGAAGACAAAATACACCTCTGCCATCCATCATAGGCCTAAATCCTTTACCTTTCACTGTTAAATAGGATCTCTAGGAATTGGCTACAGTAAGAAAGAGGAACTGCTGGAAGAACAATCATGACAAAGGATAAAACAAAGCCACGTCACTCCCATTCTACAGATGGAACACAGAAGATTAAGCAACTTTGCCAAGTTATCCTGGGAGTCTCAGATCACAGCATCCTCTTAGCCATGACCAGATCTCCTCCTGACACTGCCCAGGTAGCTGTCCTGACTACAGAGACTACCACCTGAGAAATAATTTACCACAATACCATTATGCTTAGTGGTACCATAAATTTAGTCAAAGATGACTTGATACAGCCTGGAGAGTAATTGCAGGCTGCGTGGACCTCTTCAGCACGTCTGCATAAATTGGGTTTTGCAAATAAAAGCATCAGGAGCCTGTAACTATAAGCCCTTACCTCAAGTTAACAAAGTTATTCTTGTATTGCAGAACTCCCAAGGCATTTACCTTTCATAATGTACTCGTTTTCAGAGGAGCCAGGAAGCGTCAGTGCTTTGAAAAGGTTTGTTAACAGCACTTCTACAAACGGTGCCATTTCTGCAGCTGTAATGCTGTGAAGGCAAACAGCTCTTTAATGATGACAGTCACGAACTTCGAGCCTTCAACAATACTGTAATGCCACTAAATGAAAGATATTTTGCATCCTTAATGCACAAAACCCATGTGGCAGTGACTGGATTTCTGCTTGAAAACTTACAGGGTAGTATTATTTGTCCCCCTCATGGTGAACAGTCTCTCAAGGGCGTGGGCTGCGTAAGTATGGACCACAATACTTTCTGCTTGGAGATGATTGATTAGGAGAGGAATAGACACCAGCAGTTGTTCCTTCGGTACCTACAAAAATATAGCAACAAATTACACATATGTTAAAAAATACAGATGGTTCAACACTGCAGCACGACTGAGCCCATCAGCGACACACAGAGCCTGGCAGAGGGAGGAGTCTGGGAAGGCTCCTCCAGTGCTACATCACCCCTTGACAACCAGGAGGTGCCTGTTTCTCTCATCGCTTCCCCTGAAGCGATGCACCGGTGGTGCATTTCATCAACAGTAAGTGCAGGTATTCCTGATGGATATTTCCCGTCCCACTTTACTTTGCCTTAAAGGGCAATTAAAGAATATCAAGCTTTAGGAAAAAAAAAAAAATCATGGGTATTTCATAAGAAATTAATAAAGGTAATCCAAAATTTAGGAATAATATCAATATATTTTCTTACTGCATCTCACAAGCCAGAAAAGGTAAAGGACAAAGTTGCTGTGCTCTTCACCATCCTCTGCAATGATAGGAGCAATCGAGCATATTTAGACTAACACTGACTTGAAAAAGTCTGAGTGTGTCAGGACCAAGCAGCTAAGATGTTCAGTGTTCCCACAGCATATGGAGAGCATGTAGACTACATGTTAATTGGATATTTATAACAATATCATTTACTTTCTAAACTAAAAATTCAGCAGGAAGTGTTATATTTGACTATCAAACACCTGTTGAATTCACATATGGCCAAGTGTGATAAATTAGGCTTGGCAAGTGTAAAGTAACAAACTACACTATGTTTTTGCCATAAGATTAAAAGAAAAACTTACTTGGTTTCTGAAAATCATGATATATTTGATACCATCCGCTTTTAGCACAGGGAATTCATTCACTGAAATAGAAAAACATTCAAACTTTGTTGATACTTTTCATAGAAATGTGATTACTGAACATATCCTATATATAGAGGTGGCATTAAGTCACCATTTTCCCCTTCAAAAATAATCCAGACCATGTTTTCCTACGCTGCTTAGTTCCTGCATTTCTGTATGGGCACTGTTAGAATATCAGTTGTGATACAAATCACACCCCAGTACCATTAGGAGTAGGGTCCAGCTCTTTCAGATGGAATTTCCCCTCCTGGCCCCAAGTTTAAAAGCCTCCAATTACACATTTTGAGACAACCCACTACGTTTCGAATATAATAAGAGAATTGTTGAAGCATAAAATAGTATGTGCCTTAAATCTAGACATGCATAACCTCACATAACCCTGAGCCAAGTGTTAACAGCCTCTGCCTTCGAGATCATGCTGATGCAGGAGTGCCTGAGACTTCAGGAACAGTGGTCACTGTCAAGGTTCTGACATATCACAAAAATACCATGTCAAAATTAACATCAACTTACCAGTAGCAGACTTTAAATCAGGCTGAATGTGATTCACAAAGAATTCTGTCAGATTAACCAGTTCATTGGCTTGGGTTATTCCATGCTGGAAAAACAAAAAACAAACCAACTCTATTTTTAGATGCTGATATCCAACTAATTTTCTTAACTCATTTTTATGTGCTTTTAATAAAAGGAATCTAAAGCATGCATGCACATGAGGAGAATGCTGAAACTGCATCTTTTGAGAGAGTCATCCAGTTTCTTCTGCTTAATGTTTTTAGTGTCTGGATTTCAGCTGCAGCACTTCTGAGGTTCAAAGTTACCAGTTCTGAGCTGAGGAATACTACCATGTAACAATAATACGCAGCCAAAATTTTAGATCAACAATATCAGTATCTTAGTACTTTTTTTTTGTGATAGGCTTTTTAAAAAGGGAAAGTTCAGGACTCACATTCCAATTCTGAATTAGAGCAGCAAAATAATGACCACTTAGTTTTCTCTTATGGAAAATGCAATGTATTTTTAAACCAGGATTTTCAGATGGGTATTTTCCAATGAAGTGTTCTGGGTGATGTTACCCCATATTTACCACTAAATAGCACGGAAAAGGATGCAGCTTCCCAGCTGCTAGCAGGCTGACCCCCATTACACATCACTGTTAATAACTACTGCTGAGCAGCAGAATACACCTGACTTCAGGAAAAGACTGAGAACCTTCAGCAAAATTGCATAAAACACTGTACAGAGTGTTTCACTATGTTTGTCTCAAATCTGTCTTGCATGGCTTTCAGACTCTGGTTTGGGACCACTCAGAGCTCAGAGGTTCCAGACCTGAGCCAGTTTTGTTTCTCTGTCTGGCTGATCCCACGTCCTGCCCACAGTCACACCAGGTGCTGTGCCCTGCCTTCCTGCAGGTCAGGTACCACCAATTCACCAACTGGGATTGTATGATGGAAAGCTTTTAATTCCTCAACATCACCTGCTGCACAGGCACTTACTCTCATTCTGAAGCAGCTTAAAATGAACTGTAGGCTTCATCCACACTACGATACCTGCACAC